TCCTCCGATACTTCCTCCAAGAATGGCACCTCCTCAAATCCCTCCTCGATCAAATCATCGCCTCCGACGGCGCCTCTCAGCCCTCCAACATCAACAGGCTCCGATCAATCGTAAGTAAATCAAGTTTTTTTTAGCAGTAATAACCTGTCAAAGTTCAAAAAGTTCAAATCTTTGCTCGTCATCTGCATGCCACTGAATCTAGGGTTTTGTACAGATCGACAAGTATCAAGAGCAAGGCCATCTCCTCGAACCCTACCTCGAGATCGTCGTCTCCCCTCTAATGTCCATAGTCCGATCTAAAGCATCGCAGCCCGATGTCACCGAAGCTCTCGAGATCGTTAAACCTCTATGCATAATTATCTACTCACTGGTGACCGTTTGCGGTTACAAGAGCGTTATCAGATTCTTTCCTCACCAGGTCTCGGATCTCGAGCTCGCCGTGACTCTTTTGGAGAAGAGCCAGCATTGGAGTTCGGGGACTTCGCTGAGGCAGGAGAGCACTGGGGAGATGGAGACGAAGTGTGTCCTGCTGCTGTGGATGTATATTCTTGTTTTGATTCCTTTTGATCTGTCGACGGTGGATACGAGTGTTGTGGAGGGTGGGTTTGATAATGGGGTTGAGATTTCGCCTTTGGTTGTGAAAATATTGGAGATTTCGAAGGGGTATCTTTCGAGTGCGGGTCCGATGAGGAGGATTTCTGGATTGGTGCTTTCGAGGCTTCTAACTCGCCCGGATATGCCAAAGGCCTTTAACAGGTTTCTCCTTTTGTACATGGTTAGATCCATATGAATAAGATTTTCTCTGAATCGAGGCAAATGTATCACTTTTACTATTGCATCAATTTCAGCTTCATGAGGTGGTCACATGAAGTCCTGTTATCTGTAGCAGAAGAAGCTACCGATCATTTTAAGTTGCTTGGTGTTGTTGAAGCTCTTGCTTCAATATTTAAGGTTTGGGTCTGTTCCACTTTTCTGTGTTAACAGTGGTACCTGTCCTTTCTGTAGCCTAAAATTCTCCAGATTCATCCTGATTTAGCCTTGCAGTTAGGATTTCTATAGCAATTACAATTGAAAAGCTGGCCAGGACATTTTTAGGCTTGTTAGTCTCTACTAGACACGAAAATAGAGAGAAGAGAACATTTGCGTGTTTACGGCAATTTTTGTTAGTACCATCTTAGCACGTACAACTGATATGTTATATCTGCAAGTTTGTATGTTCTTATCTAATGGTTGCATTTCCATACCATCTTGGAGCATTCCCCCCCTAACTGTGTTCTTTCTTTTAATTTTGCATATATCTTGCACAATGCTTTAGGCCTTGCCTTCTGTAATGTTCCTTTAATTAAATTTACTTGTAGTGTGTTTCGTTTCTCTCTAGACCTTTGATCATGCATTTGTTCACAAAAATAGAAAACCTTTCGAATAAAAGAATCAGAATTGCTTCGTGTTGTGACTTTCTTGTGAGTTTTTTGTTGAGCTTGCTTGCGTGCAAATAATGCAGGTAGGCACTCGAAAAATTTTGCTCAGTGTGGCCTTCACCACGTGGAATAATAGTTCGCTCTTGATGAAATCAGGCACTGCAAATCGGAGTCCTTTACTTCGAAAGTTTGTTGTCAAGCTATCTCAACGTATTGGGCTTACTTGTTTGCCTCATCGTTCTCCGTCATGGCGCTACCTGGTATCCCAATTTCTTAATCATTTTGTTACTCAATTCTTCGTAGTTATTATACTTATGTTCCTTTATTGGTTCTTGGTTTGTCATTAAGCTCTTTGACTTTGTTGTATTCTTCTCTGTGTCATGATCACTAAGTTTCTATTAATCCTCACTCCATCTTTTCTCCATATATAATCCATTTCTACCCTCATCATGATGCTTCTAACATGTTAAATGAGGCAAACCTGTTTATGTAATGCATGTTAGGAACATCTAGTGAATCTTTACTTTGCGTTCTAACTTGTTGGGGGTCAGCCCATGCTTCTACTTTATCTTCTAATGCTTAAAAGAAACATCCTATGTAAATGATTTGCTACTTTATAGGTGGTGCAAGTAGGCTGTAGATGTCTAAGCTAGACTGTGAGGTAGAAAATTCCAAGGGAAAACCCCCAAATTTGAGTGTCTGTTTATAGTTAGTTGTTTGTTCTTAAATGAGAGCAAAATGGGCAGTTCATACAGAATGACTTCTTGAGTTGCACACAAAAATGGGTTAGTTGGAGATAAAATAAACCACTTTTATAATTCTCGATTACTAATAAATTACGATTATCTACTAACTAATATTTAGGTGATGATTTAGCTTAATTCGGGATCATAGTTAATTTAGCTATCTTTATTTTTTTAGGATTTCTGCATTTTGAAAAAGTTATTTAGAGATGTTTTGAGTCTGTATAAGCTTAGCAACTAACGCTATGTTTTAGTTAGAGTTATGTGGAACAAGATAACAGATGATTTGCTGCTATATTTTATTTTTCTAGGATTTTTGCAAATTTTAAATGATGCTTATAGTTTTTTATTTAGGGTCACTTTTGTATTTATTCCGACCCCATATATTCTTTAATGTTATCGTCAAGTAAGGCAATATATAATTTTCTGCCATATTTTATTTATGTACATGAGAAATTTGTGATCCTTGGTGTAAGCCACAACCCTAACCTATTCTCGATCTATTTCTTCTACTTTCTCTCTGGCCAAACATCTTTTCCCAATCCTAATCCTCAATCTCATCTTTTAAACACTAATTCCTCAATCTTACAATCTTTCTAGTTCCATTATTTATAGCAGTCAAAGAAGTTAGAAGTCTCATAGAGACTGATCAGAATAAAAGGTGAAAACTGCAATTTAGTTGAATATATACAGCAAAAACTAAGCTAATATATGTTAATAACTTAATGTTCTAAATTTCATGAGACATTTAAATATACACAAATAGCATCCATCAACATTTGTTCGAGTAAATGAATTGTCAACCCAACATTCACAATCTTTCGCCTGACATTCAACATAATTCTACTAAATTTGGAATGTGACCTGTTGATGCAACGTTTCCTTCTCTTATTCAAATTCCGTGAGTTATCTAATATGAATTCACATCGGAACTAACTGCAGTATGTTCAATATTATAGTGCAGGGAACCAGTAATTCTTTCTCACTTCTTTTTTAGACTTGACAAATTTGAGGTTTCTGCCTTATTGCATGATCTAAACTGTATAATTGAACGTGTTCAGTTTACCCATGTTCTGATTAGTCTTCAAATGACCCTTCTTTCTCATAGTTGTGTTAGCTTAGAATATATGACCGATGGATAGAGAGGTGCCATTAGATTGATGGCTGATGTAAAGTTCAATTCTTTCCTGGAGCTTTCTTTTCCTTAAATGACACTGGATAGCTGTCCCCATTTTGACGAAGAGACTTACATGATGATCAAAATGATGAAGACAATGTGATGAATATGATGCATAATATGGAGAATTCATGGCAAATTGGTGTCCTCTGCTTTCCAAGATGCTAGTCATCCTTTTCAATTCAATTTTATTAGTTTAGACAAGATTACCATCTTTCATTTACTTAAGGTAACAAAAAAATGTATCTAGGTTCTTTTTTCTAAAAGAAAAATTTCAATGTACGTATGGTCATTCCTTAAATGTCCAGTAATGGTTGGGTGACCCGTGCCAATACCTACTGATGATTGTAAACCCAAAGGTATCAGTTTCCTTTGTTGGGTTACTTCAGTTTGCCCCATGTCCCAAACATGCAGATTTTGATATGTTGAGATTTGAGGAGCATTGGCACTAGATTATACTAATATGTCTTTTCTTCACTCACAAATTTTTTGGAGATTGGACGAGGAATATTATTCTGTTGCATGAGCTACTGAGCTTCAACTGCATAAAATACGTGCTAGGATTTCTTAGCCACAAACTGGCATTCTGGGTTTTGTGGAAACTGAGGAGTTTCCTTTTTCTTCATCTTTTCCACGAGATGGATGTGCGACCAAACAGGTCTGTCAAATTGTTGGCATGTTGTAAAATTTATTAAATCCATCGTAGGCTTCTCTGTCAGATACGTTATCTGTTGTGACACCATTTTGATGGCTAGGACAGGTGGTGATTATTATTACAAGGTGAAGTAATCGCTATTACTTAATTTAAATTATGTAAGGAATTTCATATAATCATTTAATAGTGTTTTCGTAAATGTAGATTAGTTATTGTTCTGTGTAAGAGGTTATCATTTTAAATCATGATGGCTGAAAAGTTTAGCTTTCTATTAAGGTTATTGAAAGAGGAATATGAATGTACAACACAGTAATGAGACATGTAGGATGGACATTTCTAAATGTCCATCCTACATATCTGTCCTTCCCCCCCCCCCCAAGATATGTAGGATGGACATTTAGAAAAGTTTCTCTAGATTAAATTATCAAATATCAATGCTTTGGTATTGACAAATACCTATTTCATGTAGCTTATTTTCTTTCTTTAAATTCACATTTCATTTATACAGACAATTATGCGAATGCCAATGATTTTTTCAGCCTTTTCCCTATTTTATATCTCTATTCTTTGGACTGGATCCTCGATCTTCTATCTGTTATTCTTTATGGGGGCTGTGATAACATGTTATGATGAGCTTGCTTCATGCAGGGGCACACTAAATCACTAGGGGTACATATTTTGAAGAACACTGGTGAACAAAGTCATTCCAGTGTGCATGGTATACAAGATGCAGAGTGCGTAGAAGAAGAGGACATGGACATCCCAGAAATTGTGGAGGAAATCATTGAGTTGTTATTATCAGGTTTGAGAGATTCGGTACGTAGTCAATGGGAAAGTTTTAACATCATCTTCCATTAGAATGTAAAACTAATAATCCTCCTTTCCAAATCACCAAGCAGTTTAATTTAAATTCATGCCTGATTGAGCTGACTCTCTATTGCCCTCTTTCCATTTACTATCAGATGCTTTCTTCTTCTCACTTGCTAAACATGAAGCTTTTTCTTCAATTTATCCAAAATCTGCATAGTGCAGCCATCTTGGCTTTACTTAGCTATTGATGAAAGATACATAGTTTTCTTTTTCTCTTCTTTCTGTTAGTGTCGACTGTATGAGCCTATGATTTAAATATTTTCATGAAATCTAAGGCATGTTATCATATGCTTATTTCATTAACGCCTCGTTTGGTACACGGGAATGGAGTCAAGTGAGAATGGAATGAATGTAGGAATGGAAAGGAATTGATGTGGGAGTGGAGTGTTCATTTTCATTCTCATGTTTGGGAGCGATTAGAGAATTAAGTGGGAATATCCTTAAGAAAGGTATATCTGGAATTTAGTTTATTATTTTTATTCTCACTTATGTGAGAATATCAATTTCTTGGTAACTCATTGGGAATAGCAATTCCCACATTAAGTGGGAATTGATGAGAAGTGCGAATGACATTTCTAGCATCAAAAAACACATAATGTTTGGTTAGCATGAATGAGAGGTTGGAATTACATTCCATCCCCACTTTTTCCCGCGTACCAAACGAGGCGTAATAGTATAGATCCTTTATTACTTGTAACTAGTTGTTTATAGTTCCCTTGAAGAATAATATAAACTGTAATGTCCAAAATTCTCTTTCTGTTTTATGGGTTTGTTGTTATGAGGTGGCGGCCCATTTCGATAAATGAGCTGCCAAGAGATAAAGGATGATGAGACCCACCCATCTCATGTGACTATTAGGGTGGGCCTTACTAGCTCATTTAGCAAAATGTGCTGCCATCTATACATTATTTCCTATAATTGTGCACGCGGGCATGTCTATCTACGTTCATGCATACATATGTATGTATGTACGTACATAAGGAGAGACTGCTTATTGGTACTTAGTGTATGTTTTACCATATAGTTTGACAACTTCAGTTGATTTAATAATATTTTCAAATAATAAAAAAAATATATTTCTAATGTATGTCAAAACAGCTTATAATAGAAGAGTATGTGATTTCATTAATAAAGACCAATAGTCGAAACAGCTTTTAGTGTTTTTCCTACCATTTTTCTACTATGGCCTAGTGCTTGGGTTTGTGCCATCCATTTGTGTCTATACATTGGGCCTCCAAGAATATATGGCATCGTGTTTGCATTAGTATATGATCACCAGGCCTCGCTTACCAGCGTCTCATATTCGCATCATTGTGGGTACTCTGCTTGAGCTATATCACCATGATCTATTCATGACACGTACTGGGCCGTGCATTGCCGGGCAGGGGTGAATCAAAGCATGTCATGAATATTAAATGACCCTTCCATTTACTACCCAGAGAATTGTTCAAGGCACCCATACACTAATAAAGTTTGTCTAGTCCCAACACAGTTTTCAAGCAAATGTCTAGTGTGTCATTTATTCCAATTATTCCATTTACAATTGTGAGCGGTAATCCTCTGTTCTCAGACAGTTTCCTATCTATTTAACATTTAAATGCGTAATTCACAAGTAGTGCTATAAGAATGTATATTTTAAATATTCTCAAAACAAGTTCCACAGTTTAGAATTGTCGAAGTTATGAACATTTACCATAATAAGCTTTGGAAAAATAATGCCATATTTACAGCTACTGTTAGTTAAGGCCGTTTATTATTACTAAAATCACACATGATTATGAATTCAACATTAATAATTCCCTTAATAGTGTCTTCAGCATATTTACTTGACTATAGAATTTTTGTGTAAGTAATTTTACTTACCATTGCAAGCCTTCTTGTGCCAAGCCCCACTTTGGTCCATGCAATTTGCTTGGCCAGGAATTTGGTGTTGATTTACAGGGCTGGCAGTGGATTGACAGCCCTCCATCAAGTTATCAGATTTCTAGAAACCTTGTACTGTATATGGGTCATATTAGATGTTTTATTGGGAAGATGCTTAGATGATGACGGTGATAATGATTTGTCACCAAGTCATATTTTTTAATTCCTGGCTATGCTCTTTTCTTGTGCAACGATGCACGCGTCATGAATGTAAACATCTAGCTGTTATATGGTGCAGGACACAGTAGTGCGATGGTCTGCTGCAAAAGGTATTGGTCGCATGACAGCATGCCTAACATCTTCCCTTTCAGATGAAGTGCTATCGTCTGTGTTGGAACTATTTTCCCCTGGCGAGGTTTGCCAGCGACACAGATATAACTTGTGTTGTATGCCATACTAGCTACCTTTACTGTTGTAGCACATTCATTGGGAAGAAACCCCCCCCCCCCCCCCCGCCTCCAAAATTAGTTCTTGTATTCTCATCTTCTTCTCCGCGGCCAACTTTTATTTAGTTGAAGGATCTATTTTGCTAAATGCGGTACATTTTTGAAGGAAGACGGCTCATGGCATGGAGGTTGCTTAGCGGCTGGCAGAGTTGGCTCGTAGAGCTTGTTACTTCCTGTTAATTTTCCTAAAGTAGTTCCTGTAATTATAAAGGTCAGTAGTTCACTGATTTGCAATTTCTATATTTTCTTTTCTTTCATTTCCTTTTTGGAATGACGTATTTGATACTGTTCATTGTACATCAAATCTTCTTCCCTACAAACCTTTATCTGGATGTGAGTCGTTTGGAAACTGTACCGGTGCAGTATGAACTTTCAAAATTCTGAATTAACTTCATGCTGATATTTGTTTTAAGATTCTCCATGAAAGTTTTACTTTAGCAACTTGGTAGTTAGTAATTTTTTGAATTTTATCTGTTAACAATGCTGATTAATTTTATGCACATTTCTTCTGTAAAAAATGAATTGATTAAATTGTGCTGATCCTTTGTTTTATACTAATTATATTTTTCTTGAAACATCCAAGATTGTTGGTGCAACGTTGTTATCGAATTTTGATGTTACTTCTTTTTCCTGATTTTTTTAAAGTTTTCCTCAAACAGATTTTATTTTTGTAGACTAACATAATTAGATGCAACGACACCTAGAGAAATTTTATTAGTTTATCTTTTTGCTCAATTTCTGAAGGATTATTTCTTTGTCATTAGATGTAAATTTTGGGTTTTATATTAGGCATTACATTATGATGTACGAAGGGGTCCTCATAGCATAGGATCACATGTTCGTGATGCTGCCGCATATGTATGCTGGGCATTTGGTCGGGCTTACTCTATCTCAGATATGAAAGGCATTTTGGAAGAGTTGGCACCACATCTCCTTACAGTTGCTTGTTATGACCGTGAGGTGAATGCTTTTCCTTTCCTATATTAGTCTATTTCGGCCTCCTATCATACCTTTTTTCTCTGTGTTCTTTACAACATCATATATAATTTCAGTCTGGTGCCAGGTAAATTGTCGAAGAGCAGCATCTGCTGCTTTTCAAGAAAATGTTGGAAGGCAAGGGACTTTCCCACATGGCATTGACATCGTGAATGCAGCAGATTATTTTTCTCTCTCATCACGCGCAAATTCTTACTGTAATGTTGCTGTTTTCATCGCTCAGTCTAAAGAATATCTCTATCCATTTGTGGAAGAATTGCTATGCTGCAAGATATCACACTGGGTAATAAACTTATTTCTCTTTTTCTCTTTTTCATGAGTCAAAAGTGTTACCTCAGTAATCAAGAAAAAGAATATCTAATAACTGCATGAACGTTCACTTGTAGGATAAAAGCTTAAGGGAACTGGCTGGAAAGGCTCTTTCTGCTCTTGCAAAATATGATCTTGATTATTTTGCAGGATATGTGCTTGATAAGTTGGTTAGCTGCACTCTGTCATTAGATCTGTGCACGCGCCATGGTGCAACACTGGCTGCTGGAGAACTTGTTTTAACCTTGCATCAATGTGGCTTTAATTTTTCTACTGGTTAGTACTTAATCCACTAAGATTTAGATTATCTAATTCCTTTTCCTTGTATGTGCTATGAAATATGGTTAGTCAGACTCATTGGTCTTCCAATCTGTATGCATCGAAATATTGATTCTTTTACTATGATCTTTCGCCCAGTGGCTTGTATGTGGTTACAACGCTGACCTGTTAAGTTCTGTGTTTATTTGCTTGCAAAAAAGCTCTCTCTTAAATGTGCATCAGTGTTGTCTGGAACTTATAGGATACCAATGGATATGGAGGACATGCTCCTTGGCATCCTTGTAAATGGTTAAATTGTTGTGTGTAAATTGTATCACGAACTATCAGCTTTCCTTCAAGCTAGGAACTTATTTTGGCAGTTGGAAATACAGGATTTTCAAATCATCTATCCTATGCTTTACAAAAGCTTAAGCATTGATATCATGCGAATCAAACCATTTGAAATAACGTAAATCTTAAGTAATATATGTCATCTCGATATATTATGTAGCTGAAATATAAAAGACACAGCGTTATTCACAATATAACTCCTAAAGGTGATTATGCACAATATAATGTCTAATGGTGATCTTGTCCTCCTGAAAATGCCAGTATGATTGGTAACAGACCTAGTCAAAATAGGTGGCGAAATCTAGCTGGACGAAACAGAAAGCATTCTGGTTTCTGAATTTGAAAACTGCATTTCTGTGCATCTCATGCAGTTATTCTTACTAGTTCTAGACTATCTGATAATTTTTTTTATTCTGGTGAGTAAATGAGAAGAAACTTTCTGGGCATCCAAAAGGTGGCTTATAGAGGAATGGTACATATTGAAAGAAGAATTGTGATTTAAGGGAGGATAAGTTGGGGAAGAATGCAAGGAAGACGGGAATCTGAAAATTTGTAACCAAGAGGAGATTATCTGGAGCTAAGAGTCCAACAACATGATTTAAAGAAGATGAACATGATCTCTGAATGTTGCCAAAGTAGAAAAATGTGTATCCTGGAACTTGGGGTGAAGTTATGATTTACTTATGAACCATTTCAGAATGTAATTGACCCCACCCCTTGATCAATTGCCTCCCTCCGGTTAAAGTCTCCGACCTTCAAAAACCAGGGCTCACACCCAAGATTTATAATACAGTATCAAATCATGATATTTTGCATAAACACCTCATACTTTTACTGCATAAAAGATAGTCTTTTCATAGATTTACAAGTTTCCTTGTGGCATAAATGTCTCCTAATCTTTGTGCACAGTATAATATTTATCTTTTGTTTTCACAGAGAAGCAAAAATCTTTATCAGGTGTTGTTCCTGCAATTGAAAAAGCACGTCTTTATCGGGGAAAGGGAGGAGAGATCATGCGTGCAGCTGTTTCCAGATTCATTGAATGTCTCTCTCTTTCTGAAGTGTCCTTATCCGAGAAAAATAAGAAGAGTTTACTTGACACTCTAAATGACAATCTCAAGCATCCTAATGCCCAAATCCAGGCAAGCCTCGCTGTCATGTGAAGTCTTTAATCCACTAGTCTTGGATGAATAGTTACTAAAAGAAAATTTGAGACTTTTAATTTTATGATTTAAAATATCCCATATGTTTTCGATCTATTTCTATTTTCGTATTACTTTTCTTCTCCGAGGGTTTCCTGCACCTTGGTCTGTAAATGTTAAATTTTACAGTATCTCTGGGTGATTGACTATTTTTGTTACATCCAGAGCGCTGCTGTGGAGGCACTAAAGCACTTTGCTCGAGTATATCTTGTTTCAAGGGATAAAGTTACTAATGATATAGCTCTAAAATACTTGGAGTTTTTAGATGATCCAAATGTTGCTGCAAGAAGAGGTGGAGCATTGGCTCTTGGTAATTTACCTTACGACTTTTTGTGTGGAAGATGGATGACTGTTATTAAAAAGCTCTGTAGTTCTTGTCTTGTTGAGGTAATTTTGAATTTTTAAGACTCTGTTCTGTTAGCATTTAACCCCTATATCTTCTTGATAAGGCTAATGTAGTTTCTTTTGAAGGGCAAGCCTGAAGACCCAGATGCTGAAGCACGTGTTAATGCTGTTAGAGGGCTGGTTTTAGTATGTGAAACATTAAGTGGGGCTTCAAATTGTCGACATCATGAAGATGAAATTTCTCTCTATCTGTTGATTAAGAATGAAGTGATGCAGACTTTGTTTAAATCTCTTGATGACTATTCAGTAGATAATAGAGGTGATGTTGGCTCTTGGGTCCGTGAAGCTGCCATGGATGGGCTTGAAAGGTGCATTTATATACTTTGCAGGAGAGATTCTGCAGGATCCTTGAAGACTCCCGGTGTTCAGCATCTTGTTGAGATCACTGACAAAAACTCGGTTGCTTCAGATGTGTATCCTCTGGTAGATAAAATTATTGCTACGAGCTTAGTTGGTGGGATTGCAAAACAAGCTGTTGAAAAAATGGATCGACTTAGAGATACAGCTGCTAGGACTCTCCAAAGGATTCTATACAATCAACATCATTCAATCCCATCTATACCTCACAGAGATATACTCCAAGATATTATTCCGTTTGATTCAAATCTGAAATGGGGGGTAAGTTCATTATGGTACAGAACTTTTGACTTGTTCTGTTTGCTTTCCTGTAAAGTGTGCCAGTTCTATTTAATTCAGTAGTTCTCTAAGTTGCATAATTCTGACATACTTACTTTTGTTTGCGCTGTTGAGAATGGAACATAATTATAGCATATTCATCTTCACAAGTTTCTTCTGCCTTTCTATCTTGTATCCAGTTTTCTGGTAATTGTGTTTCAATTGGGCTGTGTTTGATTTCTAAACATATCTAATATTGGAACTGCAATAGAATACTGGACATATTTTGTTTGTTTATAAGATGAATTGTCATGCATGTGAGCATAAAGAACTTTATTCATTACAGTATTAGCGTTCGCTGCACCATTCATGTACTTGATAATTTCAAGTCCACTTATTTTGCAGGCAAACTTAATGTTCAAAGTTCTTGATATTTCTCTATATTCTTAAACTTGTTCAGCTTTTTTATATATCTTACTTTCATGTACTTGTCCAGATTTCATTTCATCCCTTTAACACATCTGTTTGGTACATATGACATCAAGGGCTTCCACGTTTAGCATGCCCCTAGTTTTGTGTGAACCAACACATATTTTGAAAAGGTCCATTCTTTAAAGAAGTCAATCATGGCTGATGGTATCTTGCTTCCGTTGACACAGGATCCTTCAGTGTCTTATCCACGCTTTGTTCAACTGCTTCATTTAAGTTGTTACAGCAGACCTGTACTTTCTGGGCTTGTTATCTCCGTGGGTGGACTGCAAGAGTCCTTGCGTAAGGCATCAACTGCTGCTTTGCTGGAGTACATTCAAAATTCAGAAGGTGACACCATTGAGAACAGAAATGTCCAAGCTTATAAATTAAGTACTGATCTTATTTGGATCCTCCAAGAATATCAGAAGTGTGACAGAATTATCACTCCCACTTTTAAGGTATCTCAATGTACTTATATCATATGCAAAAAGAATCACTCACCGGGTCCTTATTATCTGTTGCTCGGTAATTAGCTTCATCACGGCTTGATTATGACAAAATGTAGCTTGATTCATTAAAAACAAGAAATTGCATATATTAAATGGCCTAGAGACCAGGGGCATATTACTTTAATATTCTGTGCTAGAACCTGTCAAGCACTGGCCCTTTTAAATGCCAGTTATGCTTGCATTTATTACAAAGTCGGTTATGGTTAAGTTGTAGTGTTGTTAGAAGATTTTTGTGTTCTAACAAAAAAATTCTGCATATATTACTATACAAGTATATTTACAAAGGGTCTTATACTTTTTAGAACATTTAGATGCCCCTACTTTTTTTCCTACACTGTACCCAGCTCATAATTAATGCCAGCATTGAAATACAGTAGGATCTGTAGAGCTTCGAAAGTTCACTGTATTACCTTAGTTGCGGTTAAAATACTACCCTTCAGATCTTTCCATTACAAAGAACTCTTATCTAGTACTTCTCATGCTTCCTTCTGTGCTACATTAATTGGAAATGCATGCACATACTTGCTGGTGCAGTTATAATACCCATTAAGATTGGTCTGAAGTTTTTTGTCTATCATAAACACCTTTTCTACTGGCATGATGCCTAAGCTTGCTTATTTTGGTATAGCACCTAAATGTTCATTTTGTATCTAGATACTTCTTTAGTATTTGTATATATTTTTAATTCGTGAAGGCTATGAAATCAGTTAATTGTCCAGTGCTACATTCTAATTTACATGGTGAACTTCCTCCACTTGATCCTCTTTTTCGCACTCCAAATAGTACATGATGATGCACTAGACCATCAACAGCATATGTTAGGCTCGTGGAAAACATCGAGAAGGTACATATTGTTTCTGAATCAATGCGGTAGTATGAACCTTGATCGAATTTTGTTTTCTAGTGTGCATGGTTCACTTCTTTTTAGTATCTGCTGGCAAATGTTGCTGCTTACCTGCTATAATAAATTATCTTATGCTGCATAGCTTCTAAGCCTTCTATGGCTGTATGGTTCGTATCTTTAAATTATAACTTTCTTATTCTTGCAGACCATCGAGATTCTCTTGAGCAAGCAGGTCTTCCTTAATATGGAGGTTAGTTCACTGTAACATCTTCACCTTTTTGTTGATTTTACAGTGGTTAAATGAGCATATTGTAGTTAATTGTTTCCTTACAAAGCAGGGCCATATGCAGTCCTTTGGTGCTGCACTTTTGAATTCTCTGGCGATTGAGTTGAGGGGTTCAAAGGATTTCACTAAGTTGTGTACCGGCCTTTCAGTTCTTGGATATGTTGCTTCATTTGAGGAACCTATAAATTCTCGAGCAGTATCTCAACTTTTATTTTTCCTTGCTCATCGGTATCCAAAGGTAAGCACCGAACAGGTTACATGTTTGGTGGTAAATTATCTCGACTGTCATTAGGTTGCCTCTAATTTGAGGCTTATAGATTTTGTTTGCTTATTATATAGGTTCATATATTCTTACTAGCACCTAGAACATAAAGAATTCATTTAATCACAAATTAAATGCAAATGATGATTGGTTTCTACGGGTGTTTTTGGATTTACAGCTGCCATGGCCGCCTCTGATATCTGTTTCATCTTTAATTTAACTGACACAGACATGACTCATCTGTCTGGAGGCATAAAATAGAGAGCAAAAATTAGCAAGTTCTTTAACTTAACTGTTGAATGTTTAAAACTCAGCAAAGTGAGGGTTTTTAATTATATGGATAGGTCAAAAATTTTTATATATATCATAAACCTGACCCACATGCTATTTTCAATTGTCTAATCTGTACCACTTGATTCATCTATAAGAAGACTCAAATTCACTGAATCTATAAGAAGACTCGCCACACCATGTAAAATAGCCTTTACATTTGAATACCCTATCATTGATTTTGAATGAGAAGGGTTAGCTTCAAAATCCTTCTAGATAGTCAAATTCATTTCATGAAAAAAGTAAAAAAAATAAAAATAAAAATAATAAATACAAACATAAGGTATCCTTGTACTTTAGGTTTTGACTCCTTTCAAGTTTCTCTCCCTTGAATTCTCCACTGATACACTTTTAGATTTTCTCAATTCACTATCAACTCCTCATACATCAATCCATAACTTTTAAGAAGTCAATGAACAAAATCTGTTAAAATTTTGGGTTAATTGCCCAGGCCCCTTGTAGTATCGCTGTTTTGCACTTGCTACCCATGTAGTTTCATTGTTTCAGATAAGTTCCTGGTTGAAATTTTTTGACTATTTTACCCTTGGTGAAATTTTGTCGGATATTGCCCTGGGTGAGTCAAACAAGTCTAATCCATGGGTTCTATCTGCAAAAGTGAAACTACATGGGTAGTAAATTCAAAACGGCGGAACTACAAGGGGTCTATCTGCAATTAACCCTCAATTTTTTTTATCCGAACCCAATTGTTATCATGAACAGCCTCTGCTGGTGCTAATGATTATCAGCTGGTTTCATTTTTCAGATACGAAGAGCTGCAGCCGATCAAGTTTACCTTGTTCTCTTGCAAAATGAAAACTTGTCGTCTGAGGACAGAATCGAGAAGGCCCTTGAAATCCTTTCTGAGACTTGCTGGGAGGGTGCAATAGAGGAATCAAAGCTTGGAAGATCGCATTTGTATGAGACGGTCGGTATAGAGCCAGATACTATGCTCAAGACTAAAGCAACAGCAGTCAGTAATAGTGCGAAGAAGTCTGTAACTGATGATGAAAATGCTTCTTACTCTTCATTAGTTGAATCCAGCGGATTCTAATTTACAACATTGGCCATCAGTTTGTTGTATGTACATCAGTATAC